CCTTTTCTGAAAGGAGCCCCTGCCCCAGCAGCCGTCAGACATGGCTCCTGACCTCAGTGGGCAAAGCACTTGGAAGAGATCTTCCAGGCCAAGAGGAAGACCCCAAACCAAGAAGATAAAAAAGTCTTTTTAAGGGAACCAGCAGTTAACGTAATGGCTATGTCGCTGGACTCCCACGTAGTCGACCGCGGTTCGCGTCTTGGACCCGGTGGCTTAAAACTCACGCCGGGTGCGTGTGCGTGCGTGCCCAAGATCCTGAGAGGAGAATGGAGAAGAAGGGATTGCGGCGTGACCATCCCCCCTGGGGGGTGATTTCTCACTTTCTGTCTCTCTGTCTCTCTCTGTCTGGCGAGCGCACGTGCCCTATAGTGAAAATCTATCAAAAAAAAAAAGTCTTTTTAACTGAGACCCCCCCACACACACACATACACACTCAGCATCCCTAACCCTCCCAGCTTTGGGGAGAAAAGGCCTATCCCTGAAGCTTGAAGTTTGACTCTCTTCTCCCTAATTAGCTGTGTGACCTCACACAAGTATCTAAACCTCTCTGTGCTTCATATTATTCCTTCTCGTAGCAGATAAACAATGGGGGAAGCTTGCAGATGGATGGGGTCCCTGCCTTTGCTCACTCCTGCCCCCTACCCTGGGGCCTGGGTCAGGGGGTTTCCTGTCCTGCTTACCTGCTTCTTCTGCGTCCTCTCCCTAAGCTGGAGGCCTGGGTCTTTTGTGGGAGGAGAATTTATTGCATGGGAGCCTGCTCTGTGGGGTCCCTCAGGGCTGGGAGGAGCTGGGGTCCCCGAAGCCGGCCAGAGCATAGTTAGGAAGCTGGGCGGCCAGGGTTCAGGCCAGGGGTCAGGACTACCCCCTCCCCCGGAGGCGGGCTTGGGGGCCCAGCAGATCAGCACCCCTCCCGCCCCGCTGACGGCCGCTCCTCTCCCCCTAGCACGCAATTGCCTTCTGCTTGAAGGAGTCGGGGAGCAAACCCCCCATGGTAATGTATCCCCCGCCCCGGGGTCCCAGGAGTCCCTGTCCTAGCCCTGCTGCTGGCCTGGCTGCTCGCAGACACGTCCCCGGCCTCTTGCTGCTGCCCCTCCCCTGCTCCAGGCTGGCCCCCCACTCTGGCTCTGGGACCCCTGGCTTCCCGCCCCCTCATGGCGGAACCCCCAGGCCTCCCTGCCCAGCCTGCATGACCCTGACTGGGGCCGGCCTGATCGCCAACCTGCACCTGCTCCCGTCCACAGATCCGGTACCGTAAGGACCGTGCCGTGGCCCGCCGGGCCCCCTGCTTTCCGAACGTGACTACCCTCCAGGACCTGGCCAGCGGGGCCGCGCTGGCCGCCACCATCCACTGCTATTGTCCCCAGCTCTTGCGACTTGAAGGTGAGTGGGTGAGTCCAGGCTAGACCCCATCCTGGGGATTCAGGCGTCCTCAGTCCCTGTCCCCACGTCTGGGTGACCGGTATGCTGGAGTGGTTGGCAAGCAGCTTCTGGAACGGCCAGCCCAGTGCTCGCCGCCGCCTCTCCCCGTCAGTGGCTGTGTGACTTGGCACATGCGTCCGAACCTCTCTGAGCAGCATTGAATTTATTCCCGCCGCAGGTAAAATGTATAGGAGGTGGTCTGTAGGCCAGACCCCATTGTAGACACCGTGGATCTAGTGAGAACAAATAGACACACACTATTTATTTATTTATATTTGACCAGAGAGAGGCAGAGAGAGAGAGAGTAAGAGAGAGAGAAAGTGAGAAAGCAAGCCGCCAGGTCCGGGACTTGAACTGCCATCGAACATGTGGGTGTCCAGTGCCCTTAACCACCACACCACCTCCTGGCCCCAACACACTTTTTGTTTTGTTTTATATTATTTATCCATTTAATTTTATTTCTTCTTCTTATTATTAAATTTTGTTATGGGGCACATGTGCTCATCAGAGACAGTGAGAGAGAGAGAGAAAATGAGAAAGCGAGAAAGCAAGCCACCAGGTCCAAGACTTGAACCGTGGTCGGCCATGTGGGAGTCCAGTGCCCTAGCCACTGCGCCACCTGCTGGCCTTCAACACACTCTCTTGCCCTTATAGACCCCTGAGAGTACTAGGGGAGGGAGAAAGATACTACATTTACCCAGGGTGCCTTTTGGATAGTAGATTCCAGAGGGGTGTGCTCTAGCCAGAGAGAGACCAGGGACAGAGAACGAGGGGACATATGCACACCCAGTCCCTTCTCCATTTCTCCAGCCTGTTGGAATTTGGGGCCTGCAGGCACCCAGTGTGTTTTTGAAGCTGCTGGGGCCCGGGTCTTGAACCCTGGTCAGTCATGTGGGCTCTGGCTCCCTTAACCACTAGCTATGGGGCTGGCCCAGGAGAGCTCTGTGAACCGAGCCCTGGGGGGGAGGGGCTAGCCGTCCTCCTTTGCAGAGTTGGGGACCCAGGCGCTGTGTCCCCACAGAGGTCTGCCTCAAGGACCCCATGTCTGTGGCGGACAGCCTGTACAACCTCCAGCTGGTGCAGGACTTCTGCGCCTCCCGCCTCCCTCGCGGCTGCCCGCTGGCCCTGGAGGACTTGCTCTATGTCCCGCCACCCCTCAAGGTAAGGCCAGGCTGGCCCCGTGAGCAGAGGTGGGCGAGGGGGGCCGCGGGGGCCGTGGCTGACCGCCCTCGGTCTGCAGGTCAACCTGGTGGTGCTTCTGGCCGAAATGTTCGTGTGCTTCGAGGTGCTCAAGCCCGACTTTGTGCAGGTCAAGGACTTGCCTGACGGTCACGGTGAGACGCGGGGGGCGGCTGGGGTCCACAGTGGGTGGGGGGAGCCCCAGCCCCACCTGACCCTCTTCTCTGCACAACAGCCGCCTCCCCCCGGGGCACCGAGGCCTCCCCACCTCAGAATACCAGCGGCAGCAGGTATGGTCCCCTGTCGGGTGAGTGTCCACCATCGGGGTGTGCATCTGCTGGCCGGGCGCTCAGAAAGGGTCAGGGACAGCCTGGTCCACCCCCTGGGTGAGGCACGGGAGGGGACAGGGTCCCCAGGCTGAAGTCTGTCTCTTGGCAGTTCTCCTGTCTTCAACTTCCGCCACTCATTGTTGTCGTCTGGGGGTCCCCAGTCCCCGCTCCGAGGATCCACAGGTGAGCGGAGGGTTGGCTTCAGTCCCTATGGACCCTGCCCAAACACTGCCCAGCTGGTGGCATGGTGGCTGACTGCCTGGTTCAAGTCCTGGACCTGGCGGCTTGACAAACACACCAGGCACATGTGCATGAGTGCTCAAAATCCCAAGATGAGACCGGAGCAGAAGGGATTGTGGCATGGCCATCCCTGCCATGGGGGTTGCTTTCTCACTTTCTGTCTCCTGCAAGCACACACACCTCTCTCAAAAACTGCAAAAAAAAATAAAGCCATAGAGGTGGCTTAGAGGTTAAGACACTGGATCCCATGTTGCCAGCCTTGCGGTTCAAGTCCCAGACCCGCTGGCCTGAAAAACACACTAGGTATGTGTGCATGCATGCCCTGAATCTTGAAAGGAAAATGGAGACAGGATTGTGGCATGGACATCCCCCATTGAGGGTATTTTCCTCCTCTCCTTTTTTCTCTTTCTTGCTCTGAAAGGCGCCAGCATCCTCTGGCAAAATTAGAAAAAAAAAAAAAGGCTGCCCCAGCAGGCCTCATGTTGGCCTCTCCAGTGGCCCCCATGGGGGTCCCTGACCCCGGGGTGACTTCTGCAGCAGCTCCTTGGGACCCTTTATTCATTCTTAGTGGCCCCTGGTGCCATTTCTGGAAACCTCTAGCCTGCCCAGACCACACAATGACCCATCAGTGATTCACCAGTGACCTGGCCGAGGTTGCTGACCCCACCCAGGCCTCCCGCTGACCCCATAGTGACACTGTGCCCCTCCCCAGGCTCCCTGAAGTCCTCCCCGTCCATGTCACACATGGAGGCCCTGGGCAAGGCCTGGAACCGCCAGCTCAGGTGAGCGACCTCGAGGGCAGGCTGGGACCGGGCCGGGCCAAGGCTGGTCCTAGGGGCTGACCCCTCCCTCCGGCCGCCCAGCCGTCCCCTCTCCCAGGCCGTTTCGTTCAGCACCCCCTTTGGCCTGGACAGCGACGTGGATGTCGTCATGGGAGACCCCGTCTTACTCCGCTCGGTCAGCTCGGACAGTCTGGGCCCCCCACGACCCATGCCGGCCCGGACCCCCACCCAGCCAGCCCCGGAGCCCGGAGACCTGCCCACTATTGAAGAGGCCTTGCAGATCATCCACAGCGCAGAGCCCCGCCTGCTCCCCGACGGGGCCGCCGACGGCCGCTT